CGATATCAGCAGACAACAATCGAACATCAAAAAGAAAAAGAAATCTCATATGAAAGATCATATGAAAGTTCATAATAATAATAAATGCAATAGAGAAAAAATAAAATCAGTAAACAATCACTATTACGACACCAATAATAAATAATAATCATTATACAATGTACAGTAGTAAAACAGGTCACAGACCAAAATAKTATTCGCGTATATCCAACGAGTGATGCTTAGAAACAAAACAAACAAYAATGGCGCGTTGAAGCCGTCACTATGTGACGCTAAGCAACAAGTCTGTCAGTGCTACTAACCTAACTTTCTGTAARCGAGTGAGGGAGGTCGGGATAATTTCCACACAATGTAGACAGTGAAGAATGTTGAATGGCCTTGATAGTAGGGATGTCTAAACGGATTTCAAAATCGATTTATCGGTATATCGATATATCAAAGTAATCAATATTGTTATGTGATATATATCAAAATTCAAATATCGATATATCGATAATATCAAAAAAATTAACAACTGATGTACAAAAAAAAAAAAAAACAATTTATATATCATAATATATTATATAACGAAACAATTTTTAATACTCTTACTGCAGTGAAGAAACAAAATAACAAAGGTACTTATAACTTAGGTACATAAAAATAATAGCAAAATACTAACTGAAAATGGTCATAATAATCTTCMTAAATTTGTATTTTATGCTAATAGTGAACAAATAAAAAACTTACTTAAATACAATTGGTTAAAAAGGTGATAACAATAATAATGAATTATTTCAAAAATTCCATTGACTTTTGTCTACAGATTGTAAAAAGAGTAGTTTTGACACCCTGGAACCAGTTAATCGGTTTCTTGTCTTGCTAATAGTTTCTCCAGCCTTACTAAAAAGGCGTTCAGATGGTACTGATATTCCAGGAACCACTAAATATTTCATCGCTAGTTAATATAATCTTGGAAAAATTATTTTTGTATTTTCCCGTTCGATCAATGGGTCAAGATCCAATTTTAAAATGTTATAGTGTAAGTAAGATCTTAATTCTCCTTTTGGTGTTTTATTATAAGCTCTTCCATCATTTCGCTTTTTTTCTAGTGTTTTGTGATGTCGCCATAAATCACAATGTTTGTCTGCGTTGCTACTTTCTGGTTCTGCAGATGCCAATRTTTCATTTTCTATCAAATTATTATCATTCTGTATTATTTGAACAATTTTTTCTTGGGCCTTGGAATTGGCGAGTGGATTTTTAAAATGCATATCCTTAAATTGTGGATCCAACAATGTGCAAATTGGTAATATGGGTGCATGCTCATAAGCTCCACATCTATAATCAAGTTCTTCAATAAGTTTTAATTTCAAACATATTGCGACAGCTACATTTGGGATTTGCTTCACCAATTAATTTCTAGTACCTAATATTAATGGAATTACTTTACTTGACATAATCGATTTATCTGTGGAAAGTTCTCTAGTAAGTACTTCAAATGGTCTCAGCAATGGACAAATTTCTTGTAAACATCTTATATCGTGGCCAGATATCATTTCTGGTATATCATTACCGTTGAGTATGAGAAGAATTTGTGATAGGTTGCTGGTTAATTTTAAAAATCTTTCAATCATGTAGTACATACTATTCCATCGTGTTCTGATGTCTAGAATACATTTTAAATACTGCCCTTCTTTCATAACTAAAAATTAAAGCATAGTAATTAGGTGTCATTAAAACAATTAAAAATAGTTTATTTAGTTACTTACATACACAATTTTGATACTTTCTCAATAAGTCACTAGCTTTTGAGCTTCTCTTTACAAACTTGACAATTTCTCTTACTTTGGATACCAAGACTGGAACACCACCAGATTTAACATTGGTTTTTTTGTCAGTTTCTTGTGTTTTTTCAATTCCCTTTTCGACTACTAGGTTGATGGTATGAGCAACACAAGGTACATGTTTATAGGCTTATAATAGCATTTTTCATATTAGCACCACTATCAGTAACAACTGCAACAATATTGGTTTTTTCCAATCCCCAGTCAGCCAATGTGTTAACCAAAATCCTTCCAATGTACTCTGCAGTATGACTTTGGTTTAGTTCCACCCTACCAATATTTCCTATTTTATAAAGTATTATAATATATTACTTTTTTTCATTATTATTYATTATTATTTCTCTATTTAGCTATTTACTACATGATTTTAAATATTATTATTGTGTGCAATGTAGGGTTTTTAAATTTAAGTACTTATTAACTCAAATTTGTTGAAATAAACAAATAAGTTKTTTAATTTAAATAATTCCTATATACAGTGTATATAATTCACCTAACCTGTTTACAAAGGTGGGAAAGTTAATGCAAATAAATAACTCAAGTTAAGTTAAGTTAAGAGGACATAAGATCAATAAGTTAAAAGTTAACAGTTAATAAATTATAAATTTAACTCGATAAGTTAAAAGTTAATATGGAAAATAATATTAACTTAACTTAGTTAATCTATTATTTTTAATTAGTGTGTAGACCACATAAAGAGTGAATGTGCCTTTCTAGTTTCTAATTTATAAATTATAAAAACAATTTTATTGAACTTTTAACTCTTTTACTTTTCTAATATTTATTAATTTAAACTATACTCATTTCAAATTAATAATCTAACAAATATATATTTTTTATATCGTATAKAAATTGAATGTCATAATATGTGAACATGAGTACACAATTTTCATGTATATGTTGCATCCACATAGTGAAACCACTCATTTCATGAACTGGATATCCAGATTGTGAAATTTGTCCAGTTCATGAATTTTGACGAAAATACATTATTTGGACATCCATTTCATGAAATAGATAATACTTATATTGTGTACTTTGTSTAATTATGATATAACAAGATTTTTATGTTATTATATCATAGTACTATAACTATAATTAATTTTCTATATTGTGCTACTAACAAAAATATAGCACTATATTATATTAGTTTATATTTTTATTTTATTTTTCATAAA